TTTTTTTTTTTTTTTTTTGAAAAATGTGTTTTATGGTTGAAAGGATCACCAAAAAAATAGCGCATGTGTCGAAGTTTTATGTAATTGACTCTGGCAATAAAAATTCTTCCAGCTCTTTTTTTTTGTGCGATTTTTTTACTGTGTGTGTGTGAAAAAAAATTATTTGAATCTGACGTTTGGCACATATACTGTAGAAAATGAATTCAGTATCGCATTGCATTTGCAAGAAAACGGGTCAAAAATATTTCTCGGTATTGCAATGCGTTTTTAAGCCTTAATGAAAGATTTATCATTAAGAGAAGTTGAAACACTTAGCTTTCCACCGCTAAGATGTTGCACTATCGTTCACTGCTAGTTGTTTGGCAGACCAGTATTCTACTACAGTAGTTTCTACGGTTTCAAGCTTTAAAAGATAGAGCAGTAGTGATTGTAGAAGTGAGCTTATCAAAGTGTCTCCTAAATTGACGTCTTAACTTTTAGGACATCTGCCTTATTTTGTATTGTTGCAGATTTAATCTTAAGTCAAGAAACGTTGAGTTGAGAAATGCTGACGATTCGAATGATTTGACACATTTACAGAAGGTGACGCCAGATTTGCTACAGTATTATGTTTTTTTTTTAAATTACTGTTTATTTTACCGTCCAGGAAACAGTAAATTACATAGAGTTTAGTGCACCAAATTAATTCATGTGATAACATATGTTTTCAAACTAGTTTTTGTTGACTTAATTTCCTAATAGATCAGTAACCGTTATTTGATGCATTTTTTATATTGTCAATCAGTTTAGTTTTATCTTCTATATTATGAATCGTTTTTAGGGTGCCGACTTTGTTCGCGCTTTCGCATTAGGGTTTGATATAGATGATGCAATGGCTTTGATTCGCTTAGACCATTTATTTTTGGAAACATTTGAAATTAATGACGTTAAACCATTAAAAGGTGATCACCTTTCTCGTGCGATAGGTCGAATTGCTGGAAAAGATGGGAGGACAAAATTTACAATTGAGAATATTACCAAGGTGAGTGCAAAAAAAAAAACAGCTTTATTTGTTCATTTATTTTTTTCAATGTATTATTTACTGTCTCATTTTGTCTCTGATTCAAGTTTAGAAGAAGAGTTGTAATGTTACAACTTTGAAAGGTATAAAAGTGCATTTGGTTTTTTTTAATACTTCTTGTGCTTGTTAAATGGTTAATTTAGACTCGAATTGTACTAGCGGATAGTAAAATACATTTGCTGGGTGCCTATCAAAATTTACGGATTGCTCGGAGTGCCATATCGTCTCTTATAATGGGTGGGTTTATTGTGTTGTTTGGAAACATTTTGTTATGGAGAATCATAATTTTTACATGATTGATTTTGACAACTTAATGCTTTGATGCTATTTAATTGTCAAGCATATTTATGTGGAACTTTGATACATTAAAGGCAGTCCGCCATCGAAGGTGTATGGTAACCTACGAAATCTTGCAAGTCGAGCCAGTGAACGTTTGTGATGAAAAAAAGAGCAGCAGATAAATTTGTATTGTGTCTGATTTGTTGCCGTGAAGTGTGAAATGTGATTGTTATGTCGTATTTCACATTGTTGAATGTAATTTTTTGAGACAAAAAGTTTATTTATAAAAAGTTAGCACATTTAATGAGTGGAGAAAAAAAAACAGTATGTAACACAACACAGCATTGAACCGGCTGAGAAATGAAGATAAACATGTTTTTTTGTTGTCGGGGAAAAAAAAAAAAAAAA